GATCCTTGTTCTGTCCAAGGCCCTGTGTTCATTTTACCAGAATGATCCTAGATTTGATTGTAGAGATGACAAATATCCATTGAAACCTATATGTAAAAGGATGATTGTAAGAAAATAAACTTAAATGAAATCTCATTTACCCTTTCTTTTTTTTTATAACAATAGGATGGAAATATAACAGTTTAGACTTTATTAACCCATAAAATACTTTTGAGTTTTTAGATGAGTCATTCTTATGAAGGAATTCAGAACTAATTCTGAAGATAGAAAAATCCATCCATGTAAATTGTAGATTAAGTAATTTATAGCTCATGGTTTATGTAAAATGTGATGGCATTTGTAGATTATTGTGACTAATAATACTTTTACAGTACTTTCATTCTGTTGTGTTTGACAAGATAAATGTCCAGTTGGAAGAATTTTCTAGTAGCACACTTTGAGAATTAGTTGGCTCATTAAGTAGATAGATAGAGCATCCATAAAATAGTGGTAAACCTGAATAATATATCATGTTGTATTAAGAGATACCTGTGATTCCTTTAACACAGAGCTTAAATGCATATTCTAAACCTCACTTAACATATACTTATTTTTCTGTGTCAACTGCTATGTTTTAGGAGACTGATGTTCATGAAATTATTCAGGATAGTCTTAAAGACTGCATAGCTTAGTATATTTTATCTCTTTTAGTTTGTGTTTTTTTTTTTCAATTATTTAGCAAAAACATGAGTTAAATCATAATCCTTTAAAACATTGAGAAATTCCCTGGATTATGTTATAAATGGAGATTCATTCATTCAACAAACATTTATTAGGTGTTTGGGGTGAGCATTGCATCATTTTACATACTGGGAACGTGGTGTTCACAGTTCCTTTGGTCATGGATCCTACATCCTAGTGGGTGAGACACAGTAAATGAGTAAACACACACACACACACAGACACAGTGAAGACAGTCACTCAGTCAGTTGGAACAGCGTTAGATCTGGGAGTCACGACTGGGCTCCCTGAGGAGGCAGTGTTTAAATCGAGACCTAAAGGATGAGAACCAGTCAGATGCAAAAAGGTCCTATGGAGTTGAGAGAAAGCTTGGTGTGTTTAGAGAACAGAGGCGGCTGTGAGCGTGGCATGGGGAGGGAGGCTGGGACGGAGTAGACAGGGTGGTCCCAGAGGTAGGTGGGCACCCTCAGATCCTGTGGGCCCTTGTAGGACTAGTAGGGATTCCCGATGTCCCATAGGTGCTGTCTTCAGTCATTGTAGGATTCTGTTCAGGGAGGTGCTGTGCTGTGTGTATTCCCAAGGGGAACCTGGCTGCTGTGTGGACAGGGAAGAAGGCTGAGCATCATCGGGCCATGACGCTGGGCCAGGGGAAGACTGACAGTGGTGGTTTGGAGGTGGAGAGGTGAGAAGAAGGCACTGGGAATGGAGACGGTCGAGGGAACTGATCTTAGCAACATGGGTAGAATTGCTGCTGGGGTTGGGCATGGAAATGGCCATGCCTACCAATGGGGTAGGAAGTAGTTTCTCTTAGTGCAGTGTAAAAACAAGATGATGTGGAGATGGTTATTTAGAACATCCAAGTTCTGTCTTGTTGTACACCCTAAGTAGAAGCTTCTGGGCGTGTTCACTGTTGCGGTGGCATAACTCTTGTCTAACAAATGCAGTTCAGACACACGAAGTCCGCTGCTGTTACAGCTGACTGCAGTGCACGAAAGGAAATTCCGAAGTGGCAGAGAAACTAAGGTCATTTCAGCCAAAGGCAGAAGGGCACGATGTGAAGTAGTTAATTTTGCTAATGATCATTTCATTTTTGTAGACAGCTCAAGTTTCCTCTAGTAATCTGCACAAATCAGGAAATAGTCCAACCTACATTTTTAAAATAATAGTTAATAATTTTGTGTCTTTGGTCTTCTGAGAAGTTCTTACTTTTGATAGGCAAATTTTAGAAGGTGTTAGCTTTCCAAATGGTAACACAGATCAAAAGGTACTTGTATTAGTCTGTTTTCTATTGAGGTAATAAAATACTTGAGCCTAGGTACTTATAAAGAAATGGAGGTTTATTTATCTCACAGTTGTGCAGGGTTCACATCCACCAAGACCAATCACTTTGGCCTCTGGTGAGGGCATCCTGACAGTGGCATCACGGGAGAGACATGGTGAGACAGGACAACCGGGAGGGGCCGGACTTGCCCTTTTATAGCAGCTCTCACGAGAGAGGTAAGCTGGGTCCTGTGACCCAGAGCTGCATTGCTTCTTTCCAGGGGCGGGGCCCTCAATGACCTATTTAACACCCACTTGGGCTCCACCTCTTAAAGGTCCCCCACACCTCCCAGCGTCTCCCCCAGGGGGACCAAGCTTCCGGCAAGCACATGAACCCTTAGAGGACACATTCAAACCGTATGCAGACCAGAGCAGCCCTGGAGTCAGCTTTGAGCTCCCTGTTTGTCGGCGAATACCACCTTCCTTTTCATCTGACTTTTGCCTGGTGATTTTGAGGTCCATGTGGCTTGGCCAGCAACGTAGCAAGAAAGCTGGCCTCGATGGCTGTCTTCCTGTGCTGTAGGGGTGGAGTGAGAGAGAAGGAGCCACACACTGGAGTCTGAAAGTGTGGTGGAGTTACAGGGAGAGTACACAGAACAGGTGTGGCTCCAACGCCCCCGCCCACCTCTACTGCTGCCACCTCTGGGGCATTTATTACCAGTTACTTTAGAAGACTTTGTTTGTAGAGAGTACACAAGGTTTTTTCCTAAAGCTTAATACACTTTTCTAGGCAGTAGCAAACTTTCCCACTGAGCTGTCCCAGCCCACATTCTTCTGTCCCTTTGGAGTCACCATGTGCACTGAGCTTCACCTGCCAGTCAGGGAAACTCACAGCCCCAGTATCAGGCCAAAATTCCATGCACTGGCTTCTGCCAGAGGCTACCACACCAAATACTGAGAGAATTCCTCATTATGATACTTTTGTCCCTTGAGTTCCAGAAGTTTGTGGGCTGAGTTGGCCCAGTTCCTGGTTTCTGATGAGTTATTATTATTTTTAATCTCCTCTGGGCTCCTTCTCTGGATTTGGGCACTTCCCTGTCCCTCCAGCCATTGGGGCAGTGACCTGTTCTTTCCATGTCCATCGCAGAGAATGGAACCGCAACAGGGTTGATGGAACCACAACAGGGTTGATGGAACCACAACAGGGTTGGTGGTTCCAGAGAGAGGGGAGTATTGAACCGAGCTGGTTCAATGAGCCAGCATTGAACCCAACCTTGGACCCTGGTGTCCTGCTGCTCTGTGCAGTTGCTGAACTTACCCCCTGCAGGGCAGTCTTCATTCCCAGGCCCCGCTGCCTGCCTTCATCCACCAGTCCGTTTCCCATCTAGGCCATCAAAGCAGGATTCGGTTGTTTCCCGATGACCTGTGCTCTCCTGCAGAGAATGGCTGGGCACAGTCCTGAGTGCCCGGCGGTGAGGAGCCTGGTCCGCCAGAACACTCACACAGGCTCTGGGAAGGGTCTTGTTCAAGGCCTTACACAAAACAGAAATCCTGCATCAGAAACAAAGGGGAGATAATGTGAGCCCCTGCAGAAAGTAAGATTAGCTTTTGCCTTTTCTCTACGGCCTCTTTTTAAGTGAAGTCATACAGAACACCGAAGGGTGAAATAGGGATCACTCAGGGGCCGTGAGCAGACTTTCCTGACCTCTCAGCCCCTCCCTCTGCTGTGAAACCGCCACTCCAAAAATGTCTAGAAAATTCTAAGGATCCTTGAAACATACCAATCATTGCACTATGGTGTAAAAAATTTTTAAATGAAGACAGATATTTGCTCCACAGGTAAACAACTCCTCCAGAGTCTCCATTCTTCACCATTTCAAGGCCAGGTCCTCAGCCTCTCCTGCCTCCATTGGCCTTTTATAGGGTGCCAACCTGAGCCAGTGTCCTGGTGAATCATCATCTGTTTCCTCTATGGCTTCTGCTTCCGCCAGGCCTTTCCTGATGCCCCTAGAGTCATCCTTCCGAAATTCACATCTGCCTTTGCCATGCCTTAAGTTCCTTCCAAGGCTTACAGTGCCTCCTAGGATCAGAGCCTTGGGGCATTCAGCCCGTCCCTCAGGGTTATCCCAACATACTTGCCCCCCTGCCCCTTCCCATCTACAGCTGCTTGTAGGGGCTACCACTCCTGCTGCCTCCCCTGTCTCCTAACCGCCAGACACACTGCTGCTCACTCCTGCTACCTCCTCTATCTCCTAACCACCGGACACACTGCGGCTCACTCCTGCTATCTCCTCTATCTCCTAACCGCCTGACACACTGCGGCTCATTCCTGCTGCCTCCTCTACCTCCTACCGCTGGACACAGTGTTGCTGAGCACTGGATTCGGAATGTGTATCCTTGGGGAAACTTTACAACCTCCCCCCACCCACAGTGGGTGCTCCACTGCCCTCTCCTCTCTGCTAGGAGCTGATTGTTCAGGCTTCTCTTGTGCACCTGTCACACAACACTGTGAACTTGGACCTACTGTCTGTCTCCTCCACTGAGGAACTCTGTGAGGACAGAGATGTCTGGGGGGAGGGGAGCTATCTGCAGCTCCCAGCCCACCCGCAGACGCCTGACACGGAAAGGCACTCAATATTTGGATGAATGAATCATCAAGTTACCACAAATGCATCTGTTGAGATGTGAATGGCAGTTATTAAAGAAATCCGCTCCAAGTTAATAAAAACAGAAATCACTTTGCAAAGCTTTGTTGTTGCAAGAGCTTCAGGACTGTTTAAACGAGAGCTCAGTCGTGAAGGGAAGTTCTATTCGTCACAGCAGCAGGAGCTGCCACGGCACATGGAGGCCTTTTCACCTGAGTGGAATTGGCTGTGGCTGTCACGCACGTGGTGTTCAGAGTTGTACATAATACAAGGGGTGGATGCAAGCCTGGAGGGGTGTATATGTGTGAGGGCGTGTGTCCGACAATTGGCCGGGTCTTTTAATGAACCACGCACTTGAAAATTGTCTTTCTGCAGGTGATGTGTCACCAATCAGCATGTCGCCCATCAGTCAATCGCAGTTTATTCCACTCGGGGAAATCCTTTGCTTGGCCATCTCAGCAATGAACTCGGCAAGAAAACCTGTCACCCAAGAAGCACTGATGGAGCACCTGACGACCTGTTTCCCAGGTAATGAGAAAAGAACACAGCACGTGCCAGATGGATGTGCGTTCTGGTTGCCATAGGACGTTACATGGACTGTTCTTCCCGTGTTTAAATAAACTAGGAAAAATTGTTTGCCAAAATGGACCAGAAGCGTTTCTTCTGTAATTAACAATCAAGGCACCTGTGTTATGTAAAAAGTGATTTTATTTGTTTATTTATTCAAAAGGCAAAGTGACAGAGATTTTCCATCTGCTGGTTTATTCCCCAAATGGCCGCTGCAGCAGCCAGGCCTGGGCCAGGTGGAAGCCAGGAGCCTGAAACTCCATCTGGGTCTCCTGCGTGGGTAGTAGGGACCCAGGTGCCTGGGCCATCATCTGTTGCTTTCCCAGGTGCACTAGCGGGGAGCTGGACTATAGGCATTACAGCCGGGACTCGAGGCAGCGCTCTGAAGTGGGATGCTGCTGTTGTGGGCGGTGGCCTTACCCTGTGTACCACGATGGCAACCTGTGATACCTTCTTATTTGACACTGAGAGGAGGAAATTAAATTAGAATCCATGGAGAATCAGGTAGAAATGATAGGATTCCATTCAACATTTGCAAACCAACCTTCTTTAAATATGTGAACATGACAGTTTAAGGAGCAAAAGAAAAACACTGTTGGTGCGAAGGGGTTAAACCTCTGAAAAAGTGGTGTCAGAAATGGACACATCTTGCATGTTTCTTCCATGGTTTGATGAGCTTTTTTTTTTTAATTTGATAAATTAGATAAGATTTCATTTTAAAAGAAAAAAACCAAATGTTTGTCTTTGTTGTAAGCAGTATAAAAGGAAGGCCTCAGCCCAGCTGCGCCTGTGAGTGGCACTTGGTGTTCCCAGGACTAGGAGACGCTAAGATTCGGGATGAGCTAGAGCACACCAGCCCTGTTGCAAGAGGCCGCCCACGCTCAGTCCTGTCCAGTGTATTGTCGTTGCCCACCCCCCCAAGATGTAGGCTGCTGCCACCATTGCCACACCTAAGTTTTAAAGAGAATCTGGAAATTCAGTTTAATGTAAAATCTCTATTGGCTGTGTGTGTGTGTGTGTGTGTGTGTATACGTGTAACCTTTAACATACGTATGCCAGCAAGTTGCAGCGCAAATAAATTGCATTGCCAGGTCACTTAGTCACCAAGTTGGTGTGACAGCCCATTCCTGGAATCAAAGCGGACACATGATAAAGTTATCATTCCACTTAGAAGAGATCTTAGCAAATATAAGCTGTTTGTTGTATCAGCTGCTCCTGCTACAAAAAACGCTGGGTAACAAGCAACCAGAGAACATCAGGGACCAACCGTTTGCTTATTATTTAGTGTCTGGGTTCTGTGGGGGTTGGCTGGTCTGGGCAGGGCGGCTGTGCTCTGCCTGAAGCCCCGCTCCTCTTAGTAAAGGAGGCAGTGAGAACCCAGTCTGCTCATGGAGACGGCAGAGACGCACGAGTACAAGCTCATTGCGCACGGGCTCTTCAGTCCTTTGTCACGCCAGACCCCCTAACACAGCATTGGCCAAAGCGAGCTTGGTAACACCCAAAGTCGAAGGAGAGAGGTGCACCCCACACATGGGGAGAGGAGGGAAGGGAGTTCTAATCCTAAGCTCAGTAGTGATCCAATCTACCATACTGGATCTCCTTATTTTTCCTTTTCCTCCAAAGAAAATTTGTGGTTTTTTTTTTTCCCAGTTATTTTCCCTCCTTTTTCAGTTTTCTAATTAATAAGTTTTGATATTACCTGTCTATAAAAACTCGAACATGAACCCACCCTTGCAACATATAAATTAAGTTGTGTGACCTTTTATTATCTCTGAATTTTCTTCCCTGTGTGATTGTGGAAGTTAGCAAAACCCATTGCTTAGAGCAAGATGCCGGGTGAGAGCTAAGAGGTGTTGCCCACAAGCACAATGCTTTAGGGAGGGAAGCCCCTTCTTTCAGCCCTGTGCCTACATAGCCACTTGTAACAGCAAACAACTTGGCGGCTTTTAAGATTCTTACATTTTCATAGAGCCTCACAAGAGATCACATAGTTTTCCAAAATTGGTTCCACCCTTCCATTACTGGGATGCGAAGAATGCAAAGAACACAGATCTTGTTTGTAGGCCAAGCAGCTGATACTCAGATCTGTCAGTTGGGATTCCTCGTAGAGAAATCTGTGGGTCACTGGCACTTGGAAGAATAATGGCTCTGGGGCTGGCGGTGTGGTGCAGAGGGTAAAGCCTCCCATGTGTGTGCTGGTTCAAGTTCTGGCTGCTCCACTTCTGATCCAGCTCCCTGCTAATGCTCCTGGGAAAGCAGAGGAGGATGGCCCAAGTCCACGGGCCCCTGCACACCCATGTGGGAGACCTGGTTGAAGCTCCTGGCTCCAGACCAGCCCAACTCCCGCCACTGCGGCCATCTGGGGAGTGAACCAGCGGATGGAAGACCTCTTTCTATCTCTCCCTCTCTGTCCCTGTACCTCTGCCTTTCAAATAAATAAGTAAGTCTCTCTCTCTCTCTCTTTTTTTTAAAGAATAATGGCTTGGCTAGTTTTTATAGTAAGTGAGCTTAAATGCCAAGGCCTGGTTTTCAGATGAACTGAGAGGAGCAGACTCAACCTTTTTTTTAATCTGTGTGGCACCATTGATTTGTCACGCAGCCCCAGAAGTTTGCAAGTGCACTGTACAAACTTGAGTCTGGGCAGGGGTTTGTAAACTGTGGCTTCCACCTGTGTTGCGAATAAAGTTGTATTGAGCACTGTCTACATGTTGAACACAGTTGTTTACATGTTGTCTTTGGCTGCTTATGCCACAGCGGCAGAGCTGAAGAGTTGAGAGATCACTCACAAGCCTCAAAGACTTCCTATCTGGCCCTTTATGGAAAAAGCCTGCTGGTCTTGAATGTGATGGTAGTTACTTAAAGTTTAGGGGCAGGGCTCTGGCCTAGTGGGTAAGATGCCAGTTGGGCCACCTGCACCCGACAGCAGAGTGCCTGGTTCCAGTTCCAGCTCTGCTCCCAGCTCCAGCCTCCTGCCAGTGTGCATTCCAGGAGACAGTGGTGATGGGCCAAGTGATTTGGTCCATCCCGCTCCTGTGGGAGACCGAGATTGAATTTTGGCTCCCAGCTTCAGCCTCACCCAGCGCCCATCCGTTGCAGGCACTTGGGGAGTGATTCAGTGGATGGAGGCTCCCTGTCCTGTGTCTCTGTCACAGGGATGAATAAACAAGGAAACTTTGAGAACTACAATTTTGTTCAGCAGTAGCTCCAGATTTTAAACTATTATTTCGTAAAAAGGGAGATTTTGTTTCTTACCTGCCTTTTCTCCTGCTTTCTTATCTTTCTCATTTTTCTTTTCTTTCCTTCTTTTGATTTTTTTTGCTGTTTTCCATCACTTAAACTACAGCAGAATAAAACACTTTATAAAATTTAACACTGCCTAAATTCTATTTGCAAAATACATTTTCAATAACAGTGCTAAAACTCTGGAGAGACTTAAGAATTGTACTTCTTGTTTTCAAAAGCTTAGACTATTTACTTATTTTGTATCTTGCTAGTTAAAAATGAAGTTAAAGTATTGTTAAGATATTTGAATTATCCTGTTGATTGCATATTTTATAAATTGAAGATTTGTCTAGACTTTGAACTCTGTTTCTGTTTTGAACATTCATATTCTAAAGAAAGTTTTTAGTGAAAATTTTTTTCAGTGAAAACGGCAATGTGTTACCACCTTTCCCTATAGAATGAATTTTGGAGAACCACCACAACTTTTATATACCAGTGTCCATTACAGAATCAAGAAAAAAATGTAAGTTAAAAAGAATAAACGCTTTCTTCTTGGATTTCCAAATACCTAGGGATCCATTCATCCAACAAGCTCCTGCTTGTTAGACTGGGGGAAAGGCTGGGCCTCAGAGAAGCGGTGGGACCCCGAAGGCTGCGCGTGACACTGACGTTAGCCTCTGCTGGAGAATGCTAGTATTACAACCACTGCGTTCCTGTCCCCTTCACTGCCTCACATCTGTTCTTACTAAATTCTCCCTCAGCCAGGGTTCTTCACGAACGGGAAGCCTAAGGAAGCCCGGTAAATGCTTGGGTCTAAAATGCTGAACCTGAACCACCTGTGCACTGCTCTGTGCTCCAGCAGTTCAGCAGGGCCTCAGGATTAAAGCCCTGTGTGGGTCTGAGGAGCATCACGTTGGCCCGCGGTGTTTTTAAACATCTATTTCTACTTGGGAAGATGTCAAGGTGCGGGAAATGAGTGAGGTCAGGGTTCAGCCCTGGTAGGATGTGAAGTTGTCTTTGTTCTTTAAGCCCTCAGAACTGAATCCATGGTGAAATTTCAGAGCGGAATCTGGAAGTGGTGAATAAGCAAACACAACCATCACTCTCTCAGGTTAACACCACAGAGTTCTGGTGGATCCCGGGATCGCTGAGACCACTGAACACACCAGCCACTCCACCAGGGCTTCGTCATAACATAAGCATAAACCCCGCAACTGTCAGTTAAACCTTTGAAAGCTCGTGGGTACATGGTGGAAAATGGGAAAGACAGGGAGCAAAGAATCTTTCTAGTTTGTTTTTTTCAAACTAAACATTATTTGGTTGATAAGCCTGCAGATCCAAGACATCAAAAGCTTAGGTGCAATTTTCTCTGGAAACTCAGTCTTCTATCTCTTCATTTGAAAACAACTAGAGAGGCCGGCACCGCGACTCACTAGGCTGATCCTCCACCTGCGGCGCCAGCACCCCGGGTTCTAGTCCCGGTCGGGGCACCGGATTCTGTCCCAGTTGCTCCTCTTCCAGTCCAGCTCTCTGCTATAGCCTGGGAAGGCAGTGGAGGATGGCCCAGGTGCTTGGGCCCTGCACCCGCAAGGGAGACCAGGAGGAAGCACCTGGCTCCTGGCTTCGGATTGGTGCAGCACGCCGGCCATAGCGGCCATTTGGGGGGGTGAACCAATGGAGGGAAGACCTTTCTCTCTGTCTCTCTCTCACTGTCTAACTCTGCCTGTCAAAAAAGAAAAGAAAACAACTAAAGAGAGGGGTCGGCACCATGGTGCACTAGGTTAATCCTCCGCCTGCGGTGCCAGCATCCCATATGGGCGCCGGTTCTAGTCCTGGCTGCTCCTCTTCCAATCCAGCTCTCTACTGTGGCCTGGGAAAGCAGTAGAAGATGGCCCAAGACCTTGGGCCCCTGCACCCACATGGATCTGGAGGAAGCACCTGGCTGCTGTCTTCAGATCAGTGCAGCTCAGGCTGTTGCAGCCATTTGGGGAGTGAACCAACGGAAGGAAGGCTTATCTCTGTCTCTCCCTCTCGTCTGTAACTCTACCTCTCAAATAAATAAATAAAATCTTTATTAAAAAAAAAAAAGAAAACAACTAGAGAACTTGTTACCGATGGGTGCTCCATACACTAGTCCTGATTCTACATAGTTTCCTGAGCTCTCTCAGAACAGCACCTGGAAATCCACTGTCAGCAGGGTCTAGAATGTAGGTAGAGTTTTATTCTAGGAGTTCCACCTCAGCTTTCCTTTATTAGCAGCCATAATTAGTAACTCAGACATGAGTCCTTACAAATGAACTTTATGATTTTTAAAAAAATCTCTGTTACAACGTTGGCTGGAAGCATGCTACTCTTTAAGATATGAGGGTACTTCAAAAAAGTTGTGGAAAATGGAATTTAATGATGGTTATTTTAGCTGCAAAAAATGTTGAAATCCAGTTTTTCGTGTTCCATGAGCTGTTGGAACAACCCCTTCAGCTTTGCACGCGAGTGGATGATCTTGACTGCTGTGGCCCACGAGGGCAGCAGGGGTCTGTCTGAGACTGCAGGGTAGCCTGTGTGTCCTTATCTCAGGAGCTGTATTCTTTGTGAGTGGCGCCCCCTGAAGGATTCCAGCAGAAGGTCCTGCCTGTTAGTAGGGCTCGGAGTCTCAAGCTTCTCCCCTTATATGCAAGTTTTGTTTTATGATGGCCCTCAAGAATTGTATGTGTATAGTTTGAGTTCTGTCACTAAGGCACTTGAAATTCATTGCAATTTTGTACAGAAAGTATCCAAAAATTGAAAACCAGATTTTATTATTATGCCAGTCTTGGAAACATCTGTGTAAAAACTGATGTGTCTTTTATTAAGATTGAGTATTGGACCAAAACAAAGCCATGCTCCTCAGAAATTAAATAATTTTGTCAAACGATGCATGATTGAGGAACCATTCGCCTTTTTTACCATGGTCACTCAGGATGCCTTCTGAAGACAGCAGCACAGATGGGTGTTACAGGCGTGTGTGTTACAGCAAACGTGGGGACTCTCGCCTCTTGAGAATTCCAGGCCTTACCTTTTTCCTTTCTTTAAAGATTTATTTACTTATTTGAAAGGCAGAGAGAGAGAGAGAGAGCACGAGCGCGAGAGAGATCTTCCATCTGCTGTTTCACCCTGCAGATGGCCAAGGCTGGGCCAGGTCCAAGCCAGGAGCCTGGAACTCCATCTGGGCCCAAGCACTTGGATCATCCTCCTCTGCTTTCCCAGGTGCATTAGCAGGGAGCTGGATTGGAAGTGGAGCAGCCAGGACTCGAACTTGCACTTATATAGGATGCCGCTGTCAGGAACAATGGCTTAACCTGCTGTGCCATGACACCAGCCCCTTCAGCCCTTTTCTGATGCCTTCATGTCTCACTTTGATATTTTGCAATTTCTGGGGGAGCCTGAACTGCACCACTCACCCAGCTGTTGCAAGTTGCTAACAGTGCTCTTTGGAAGTAATGCTGGTTCCCATGGGTTCTGACTCTAAGGTGGAGATGACTAACAGCTGCTATTACCAAGCAGTCAGTGGGCATCAGACCTTGCTTTATATACACTAGGTTCATTTAAACTCCTAACAGTTCTTTAAGTGTAGGGATTAATAGTGTCCACATTTTAATGAAAGGGACAGGGACTTGGGCTAGGTTACCAAAGAGGATCCCAACTGTCTTAGTTTTCTAGAGCTGCTGGAATGAAATACAGTCGGCTTAAACACCAGAAATGTAGTCCCACAGTTCTGGGGGTCAGAAATTTCAGAATCAAGAGGTTGGCAGGGCTGCTTGGTCCCTTCTGAGGGCTGTGGGGAAGCATCTATTCCAGGTATCTCTCCTTAGCTGGTGGTGGCCTTCATCTCCCGTGTCTCTTCAAATGCTTTCTCTGTGTATATCTGTGTGTCCAGATTTCAGGTCTACAGGAGAGAGCACCACCCTAATAACTTCGTTTTAACCTTGCCAGTGCCTAAAAAGACCCTGTTTCCAATTAAAGCCATATTTGGGGAGGATCGGCATAATTTGATAAGTAACAACAGCTATCCGTGGTGGAGCTGGGATTTCAATCCAGCACTGTGGCCCCGGGAACCACACGTCCAGCCTCCACATCATCCTTCCTTAACTGTGCTCGGTTCAGCCACGTGAAATTACCATTTCAGTGGGTCAGACGTGGCTGAATATTGGCAATTTCATGTCATTTAACCTGCCCTGTTTCCAGATTAAATCACTCATGTCAGTTTGCAAGTATAATCGCCCTTTTATGTGCTAGGTCCTGAAAACTGGGGGATACCAAAGACATGGTGTAAATGGGCCATAACCTGGAAATTTTCCGTTCTCTTAAGAATTCATACTCTTGCCTCTGTCTCCTAGGTAGACAAAGCATAAACCTGCACATAAACCCTTTGAAAGCAGTATCAGTCACTGTACAAAGAAGCATCTGTTATTTTCCCCTGTGTTTCTATTCTGGCAGATATGGGAGTTTTAGACCTAGCGATCAGATGTAGAATGCCTGAGCTTTCACCAGTATGCTTGTTAGGCTCCCTGGTTAGAAATTAGAAAACCCACCTCCATCTCGCGCCGCACTGACCCATGCCGTAAAGGAGAACACTCCTAGCTCAATTTCATCCGTTTCGAAACTGGAGGCTGAAGGTGAACAGTGCAGAATCAGAGTACATCTTTAGCAGTGGTCAGGTCTAATTGCCCTTTAATATAATTTATACAATAAAGTTTATTAAGTATACTTTTATAAACTAAGCATTTGGAGTATCTCCAATGTGGTAGCCTTTGTATATGAGGGTACTTCAAAAAGTTTATGGAAAATATGTATTATAAAAAGACCATTTATGTCTTAACTTTTTTTTGCACCAAAATAAACATTTAATTCCATTTTTTATGAACTTTTTGAAGTATCCCTCTTTGTTAGAGTTGGTTTTCAAGACCAAGGTAGCTATTTTAACCCTGCTTCCCTAATTGAGTTTATTGAAAAAAAATTTTCTGCCAATTCATATCACAATTTTCTCTCACTTAAAACTGTTCTTTCATGACTTAGTTTGGTAAAGGCTATTTAACAACATTAGCGATCTAACTCATTTCTGCCTTCGCAGCTTTTTCAAAAGATTGATTAATTTGAGAGGTAGAGAAACCCAGAGACAGAAAGAAAGAACTCTCATCCTCTGGTTCACTCCCCAGATACCTACAAGGGCCCTGTGTCAGGGCTAAAGCTGGGAGCCTGGAACTGAATCCAGGTCTCCCATGGGGGTAGCAGGGACCCAGTTACTTGAGCCATCACCACCACTGCCTCCCAGGGTCTGCATTAGCAGGAAGTTGGAATCAGGAGCCATGGACTGGGTATTGCATCCCGGTGTAGGACGCAGGCATTGCGCCTGGTGGCTGGGCCACCACGCCATAGACCCGCCCCATCTGCCTGGCGTCTGTGCCCTCTCGTTCTCCAGGCGGCAGTATTCACTGGGGTTCTCAGAGACGACTAGGCTGCTCTCTCCACTTCCGGAATCCTGCGTACTTGCACTTGGCGACGCTTTAAAGCGTGGCAAGCTAACAGGACTGTGGAAAGCAGCAGTCTGCCGTGTGTTGCTGCATGCTCATGAGTGTGGTTCTTTCTTCTTTGTGTGTTGTTGGTCCCAGGTGTTCCGACCCCTAGCCAAGAAATCCTGCGGCACACGCTGAACACGCTGGTACGAGAGAGGAAGGTCTATCCCACCCCGGAGGGCTACTTCATCGTGACCCCACAGACTTATTTCATAACGCCTTCCCTCATAAGAACTAACAGCAAATGGTACCATTTGGATGAGAGGATACCTGACCGGTCTCAGTGTACCTCTCCACAGCCTGGAACCATCACGCCCTCTGCCTCCGGCTGCGTCAGGGAAAGGACAGTGCCCAGGAACCACTGCGACTCGTGCCACTGCTGCAGGGAAGATATGCACAGCCTGCACGCGTCCACTCTGCAGAGGAAGCCTGCCAAGGACTGCAAGGACCCCTACTGCCCCCCTTCGCTGTGCCAGGTGCCGCCCACTGAGAAGAGCAAAAGTACTGTAAATTTCTCCTATAAGACGGAAACTCTCTCGAAACCTAAAGACAGTGAAAAGCAGTCCAAGAAATTTGGGCTGAAGTTATTCCGGCTAAGTTTTAAGAAAGACAAGACCAAACAGCTGGCCAATTTTTCTGCCCAGTTTCCTCCCGAGGAGTGGCCCCTGCGCGACGAGGACACGCCCACCACCATCCCCCGGGAAGTGGAGATGGAAATCATCCGGCGCATTAACCCGGACCTGACGGTGGAAAACGTCATGAGGCACACGGCCCTCATGAAGAAGCTCGAGGAAGAGAAGGCGCACAGGAGCAAAGCCGGGTCTTCCGCCCACCACAGCGGCAGGAGTAAAAAGAGCAGGACTCACCGGAAGTCCCACGGGAAGTCTCGGTCGCACAGCAAGACCCGAGTGTCCAAAGGCGAGCCCTCGGACGGCTCGCATCTGGACATCCCCGGGGAGAGGGACTGCGACTTCTGTGACCCTCTCACCCGGGCGCCCAGGGAGGGCTGCTTCATCATCGAGCACAAAGGAGACAACTTCATCATGCACAGCAACACCAGCGTGATCGAGTCCCACTTCCCCATGACACCCGAGTGGGATGTGTCCGGCGAGCTGGCCAAGAGGAGGACTGAGATGCCTTTTCCCGAGCCTTCCAGGGGAAGCTCCCACTCCAAAGTGCACCGAAGCCACAGCCATACCCAGGACCGACGGTCCAGGAATGAGAGATCCAGCAAGGCCAAGGAGAGGTCCAGGTCGATGGATAACTCCAAGGGCCCTCTGGGTGCATCTTCGCTAGGGACGCCTGAAGACTTGGCCGAAGGCTGCAGCCAGGACGACCAGACCCCCAGCCAGTCCTACATTGACGACAGTACTTTAAGGCCTGTCCAGGCTGTGGGGCACCAAAGGGTTCACCTGGCGTCCACGAGTTACAAGGAGGTGTGTATTCCAGAAATAGTCGGTGGCAGCAAGGAGCTTCCCAGCGCGTGCAGCCTGTTGGAGCCAGGCAAACCGCCCGAGAGTCTGCCACCCTATGGGGACCTCAGTGCTTGTCCAAGCAAAACAGCTGCTGATGACTATTTCCAGTGCAACACCTCCAGTGAGACGGTGCTCACGGCCCCATCCCCCCTGGGAAAGAGCAAGGAGGACCACGACACTCTGACTCTGGCAGAAGGAGTGAAAAAGCTGTCTTCCTCCGACAGGCAGGCCCCCCATTCCTCCCGGGAGCCCATGGGGCACAAGGAGGAGTCCCCCAAAGGGCTGGGCGGGGGCCCGGCTGCTTCCGGGGGCGTGGCGGAGGCGGTGGCAAATGGACGCCTCGTGCAGCACCACAGCACGGAGCCGGGCAGCCTAGACAAGAGGAAAGAGATTTTCAGCAAAGACACGCTCTTCAAGCCTCTTCACAGCACCCTGTCTGTAAACAGCTATCACAAATCAAGCCTGTCCCTCCTCAAATCGCACCCGAAGACCCCGGCTGACACGCTGCCAGGCCGGTGCGAGAAACTGGAGCCCGCCCTGGGGACCTCGGCGGCACAGGCCATGCCCGCTTCCCAGCGCCAGCAGGAGTCTGGAGGGAACCAGGAGGCCTCCTTCGACTACTACAACGTCTCTGACGACGACGACTCGGAGGAAGGGGCCAACAAAAACGCGGAGGAGGAGAAGAACAGAGATGACGTCGGCACCATGCAGTGGCTCCTGGAGCGAGAGAAGGAAAGAGACTTGCAGAGGAAATTTGAGAAGAACCTCACGCTCCTCGCCCCGAAAGAGACGGACAGCAGCAGCCATCAGAGAGCCACGCATTCGGCCCGGCTGGACAGCATGGACAGCAGCAGCATCACCGTGGACAGTGGATTCAACTCCCCACGGTAGGGCGATGCGCAGACACCTGCCAGGGCCCGGGGCTTCACGCAGCTTAACTTGCAGTTTCTGATTTCACAGGCTCCGTTCTGTGAATGACGGCTGAGAGCTGTGCCAGTCATTAACAGCCTGTTTCTGACTTCTCTTTCAGGAATTGAAACAAAAGTTTCTGCAGCTGTAGAGATCACCAATCTGGACTGGTGGGTTGGCTCCTTCCCTCACACTCGCGTCAGTCCAGTCTAACTAAGACCAGCCTGCCCCAGAGTTTTTCCTTCTGTGTTCCTATTGCCACCACGCGGAGGGAAGAGGGTGCTCCTGTCCTTCAAAGACAGCAGCTTTTTGAATGGAATGAGTAGTCGGTGAGGGAGAGGGGTTGCGTGTCAGTTGATGGCTGCTGCGGGGAGGGTCCCTCTAGTGAGAATAGAAGAGCAACCTCCCAGATTTCCCAGTGGGTCTGAGGTCACTGTCACTGCCAGCTTCGTCTGTACTCTCACTGCAGCCTGCCCCTCTCGCTCGTACACCTCCCTCTCCCTCTCACTGGCCCCGTGTCTACGGAGAAATGGACTCCCCCCCCCCCCACACACACACAGTTCAGGGACCTGTGCTGGATCAGCTCACAGCGTGGGACAGCCCTCTTACTTCTCCTGCTACAGAATGGATTCAGTCCCTTCAGGCATGCTTGAGGTTCCAGTTTAGTACTGAGTTGACAGTGGAGAGTATGTGATGCCCATAGTCACGTCCAGGGCACAGACATTCTTGGGGGTTCCAAAGCAAGCAAGGTCCTGTGCAACTTCCTGTTTTCTCCTCAACTCTTCCTTCTCCTCAAAAAGCAACATGGGACCTACTTCTCTTCCTAAATTCTACTCCAGATTGGTGACTCTGAGATGCAGAAATACTACTGAGAGATTGACATATCTCAGCAGCGGAGATTCCCAGCATGTCACGATACCCAGATAGGCTTACATAGGCTGTCATTTATTTTTATTATTGAGTATTAAAAGTCATTCTGTTGTGATCATTCCACTCTGTCTCTGGGTAATTTGGTGACAGAGCATCCAAAAACCAGAATTGGGAATCATTTATCTGTTTGTCCCATATGAGGGCTTTTGTTACTTAAAGGACTAGTTCTTGATGATGATGATGATGATTTTGGACGTGTGGTTTTTTTCCAAATTAACATGTGTGTCGAGGTCTAATGTCTAAACAGACATCAGAGATGACACTCTGGTTAAAGTGGCCGGGAGACCTCTGCCTGTCCCTTGAGAAGCCGTAGGTGGCACCCATTCTTAAAACCATTGGCCTTAGATGACTTTCCTAAGCAATTATTTTTGCTAAGTGATTTTTAATCCTAAACCAAATCTCGATTTATTTTCCAACTTATTTTGTCTGTCCTTTTCTTCTTTTTGTCCTATGCTACTCTTTTTTTCCTCTAGAATTCCTGGTAGTGGGTACCAGAGAAGCATAACTGAAGGTCTGTAACCACAGCAAAGTTCAGAGCTGTTACCTGTGGAAGGTGTTGTTGGTTGCCTGTATCTTTGTATTCTGTGGTTACTCCAGATAGTAGCTAAGGAGATGCTGGGAGTCATGGCAGTGGCTTCTAATTCAGAACTCTAACCCTGCATTATGCATATTGAAACTTTTTGCTTGTTTTCAGGGGTAAACAGAAATACTCATCAAACAATTGAACTGGTAACCTCCCCTCCCCAGAATATATTTTATTATCTCAAAACTTGGAATTCAGAATGTAGAATTTATGACTGGAATTATTTCTTGAAGTGTTCATTTTCATTTCCTTAAAAGTGTATTTAACATTAAATGCTTTTTCTTGGTAGATGATAAATAGGGAGACAGACTTCACACATTAGCCGCATGTCTGTCTACTAATACTGGGTAGAATTTTCTCTATAGGAACATATAGGTCACCCATAAATTTAATGCAGTTAGAGAATCATAGTTGTAACACCCTTTCATAGTTAGTATCCATTAGCTTCTAGGTGACAAGCATGTTTTCTGTGCACAGCAGTGAATCCTGTGCGCTGCCTCTCTAATACCTCAGGATGCTCCACAGGAGAGTAGAGTCTTCCTCTCCCTGCTCGCTACCTTTCCGTTGCTGTGAGACGTGGGCCTTTCATCCAGGCCGTTCTTTCGGATCTTTCTGTGAATAGTCCACTAAGCAACCAAGGCTCAGTCAGAAGAGATTTTATGACCACTCTGCAAGATTTCAAACTGGCCCAGAATTCACGTTCAGCCACATTTCCAAATTCTTTAGCCCCATTTGTTGGAAGCTAAAGGATATCGGAAAATAAAAAGGGTAGAAACTTGAACTGTGTGATGAAGTCTAATATTGAAAATGACAGTTCTTGACATGAAAAGCCTGCTGTACTAAATCTGAGGCTGGAGGTCAGAGCAACCCAAGGCTTCCAGGGATGTATTCGTGCTGTAGAAGCTTGGATCCAAGAGAAACACATGCGTGCAGGAGGATGAAAAGCAGAGCTGCTAGGTTCTTTTTCCTGACCACAAAATCCTGACTTCTTGTTTTGAAGGTTTAATTCCATTAACTGTCTTTAAAAAATACTTTTAAATTCGAGGAATATTTTCACTGGTAAAAAAAATAGTAAAAAATACTCTTGTTAACTTTTTCATCGTCATATCCAGAGCCCTCAATATGAATGTCACAGACTATACTCACTATTGTAACAACAGTGAGGTGTATTCTTTGGAGACACAGGAATACTGTTTGTATTTATAATTATTAGTGTGTTGGCTATAGTCAAAACATCTTACATCAGGGACAGCTCCCAGCTTAGGTGATCAAGTGTATTGGTAACTGTGTACAGTGCCTTGTATATGCTAGGTACTCAACAAACCTTAAACCTCTTCCTTAAAAGCTCATCTAAAAGTACATCCCTTGCATCTTAAAATTCCATAGAAGTGATGTTAATACTAATGCCTAGATTTCCAAGCTCATCCACAGTAGTTACTGAATTCGTTAGTATATGCTAGATGTATAACAGAGTGACTTACATTTTCCTGGGTTTTTAGTGTTTTGTTTTTTTGTTTTTTTGTGTTTTTTTTTGTTTGTTTTTTTTTTTTTTTTTTTTTTTTTTTTTTTTTTTTTTGACAGGCAGAGTGGACAGTGAGAGAGAGAGACAGAGAGAAAGGTCTTCCTTTGCCGTTGGTTCACCTTCCAATGGCTGCCGCGGCCGGCACGCTGCGGCCGGCGCACCGCGCTGATCTGATGGCAGGAGCCAGGAGCCAGGTGCTTTTCCTGGTCTCCCATGGGGTGCAGGGCCCAAGCACTTGGGCCATCCTCCACTGCCCTCCCGGGCCACAGCAGAGAGCTGGCCTGGAAGAGGGGCAACCGGGACAGAATCCGGCGCCCCAACCGGGACTAGAACTCGGTGTGCCGGCGCCGCTAGGCGGAGGATTAGCCTAGTGAGCCGCGGTGCCGGCCGGGTTTTTAGTTTACAAGCCCTTTCTTGATGCTTGCTGCTTCTTCGTAGCCACCCTGTAAGTAGATAAGTCACAACATAACTCTTGTTGTCATAGAGATGAGGAAATCAAATACTGTAAAAAGCTACTGTCATGATTAAGAATGCAACTGAAGAAGTGTGTCCTGAAATCCTTGGGCTTCTGTGGGTTTATTGCCCTCCCTCCGTCCTCTCCCTGACTACATGCCTCCCTTATGGCTCTGGGAAGCCACTGATGAATGTTCTTGGGGAAGGTGTCAGGCAGGTAAGTAGGTAAGTCTAGCACTTTCAATGCTTTCAGTGATGAAATTTTGGAGCACTCGTTAGGTATGCTGTTAGCATAAAGAGAGAACTGGATTTGTCTCCACTAACATATTAAGCTTCTGGAAGTTTCCGTCTACCTTCCAGAAAGTAGGTCTAGTTGTCTTTTTGGTAGCCAGTGAACAAATTGCCTTTTAAATCATTAACTCTAAGGCTTGGCTTCTTGGTGAGAAGCAAACTCAGGGTCACAGAGGATTGGAATTAAGAACCGGATAGAAAGGACTGCCAAGGTAGAGGACTCAGACACAAATGCTCTCAGCTTGGGATGGGCATGAAAGAGAAGGGGAGAAGACGTCTCCATGTAGTAGTCTGGCCCATTGAGTGGCTTTAGCGGCTTGAGTCGGTCATAGGGACCAGCTCTCTTAGGATATTTTTTGAAGTTTGAGTCTCCTCAGTGAGGTAGATATTTTGAGGATGAGTGTGGCCTCCTCAATTTCTCTGTAAACTAGGAAGTTTCTTAAAGCCACTTTGAGGAAGACCTTGACCATGAAACCCTATTCAGTTCCCCCCAGTCAGGTTCAGTAATCTTACTTCTGCAGTTGTCTTACACACTTGAAATGTTAAATCTTCTAAATATCTTAAAGCAAAAAAAAAAAGCCTCAAGTATTTCTCATTTAGAAAAATTGGAAGAGAAATTGCAATAATAAGGCTTTTAAACTACTTCGGTTCTATAAAACTCCTTTTAAAAATGTTTCTACCAAGGGGACAGAAATGAATGAAAACTTCACAAATGAATGAGAAAAAGCTAAGATCTTTTATCTGAAAATAAAATGTATCTTAACTCAAATGTTAAAATTTGAAACAGAGCTAAAGTGTTTTAAAAGGATTTTATTCCCGTCAGTGCAGCAAATTAGCTAGTGACATTCAAAGTCCACCAAAGTCAAAATCTGCTAATCAAGAATGAAAATGGAATCATTAGGGTAAAATTACTGAGTTTATCTGGAGCAGTTTTGCCCATTAATTTTCCAGTCTGAAATGAAATCACTGTAAAGATATATCTATGAGTGTTCATTTTTAAAACTAATGTGATAACAATCTATCACATCACATTTTGAAGTAGCTTGAATGTGGAAAGGAGGGAAGACATTTCCAAGAGCACTGAGCTGTTTAAAAACCCTTTTGTCATTAGTGTGCCCCTGATTATGACCTGTCTCATGACCACACGTCGTGTGTGCATAGTCAGTTGAGATGTTTATGGATGGGACATTACAAACCAGCAGAGGAAATCCATTAACTCCCTCACTTGTTCTTCCTCTGGGGCTCAATATATAATTATTTATGTTCGAAGCAAAACAAAACCAAACCTTTTTACTCTTTTAGTACTCGGGAGAGCCTGGCTTCCAACACATCCAGCATTGTTGAAAGTAACCGTCGGCAGAACCCTGCTTTGAGTCCGGCCCACGGCGGAGCCGGGCCAGCCTTCAACTTCCGAGCCAGTACGGATCCCCCAGGCAACGAAGCTGAGAAACTACAGAAACCTTCCAACTGCTTGCAAGCTTCTGTTACTAGTGTGTGATAGTCACTCTGCCTCAGATCTTCTGTCTCGTTCGATACGGCCAAGTTTACGACACTGGGACTGACGTTTACATCTTCGGAAAGACAAGCATCTCAACCACAGTTTTTGTGCTTACTTAAACTGTGCTGCTAAGTAGGCTAGGGCAAAACAAAACAAAACACATCTTTATTTCAGAGTATTGCTTTTCACATTTTTGGCTCTGTAGCGACCGAATAGCAGTAGGGGTGATATGTATACTTTTGCTTCACTAACTGTATCTGAGCACACATAGGAAAGTCTAGACACTGTAAGTGTGATATGCATTTTCAATGTCATGCAGTTGCCGATTCCATATTAAAATGCCACAGATGAGTGTTGCTCCCGGTTTGTGGTTAAATGGCACCACAGAACTGATCCTTGACACTTCCAAAAACAAAAGCAAAAAAAAAAAATGCCCATGCCACCACGACATGTCAAATGCAAGGGTCTACTTAGGGAAATCCATGCCAAACTTCCCAGCAGGGACCACAGCCCTCTGTTTGTGAATTGTTTCTGCACCAGTCATTTTTCACTGTGAGTTCTGTGACGCTGTTTTGCAGGAGGCCGTGGAAGTGTGTCGGAAGGGGTCGCGAGGGAAACACTGGGAGTGCTGGCTTTCAGGATCTTGTTTTCAGGTGTGACGGATGCTTGTGTGATGTTGTAACCTTCCATGGTCACAGGCAGGAACATACAGGACCTTGAATCTGAAGTGGACAAAGGAAGGGAATCCCAGTTTGGATGGGGCACAGCACTAAGTGCTGGAAGAGGTCGTGTGGACTTGTCGAAGGTTTTCATCAAACCTTGAAGGAAGTTCGTTTCCTCCTTGTGATTCTTAGGATGATCCTATCTTACGATAATAGATACGATAATTAGTTTGTTTAAAAGCAAAATGTTTTTGTGATACAAATGAAGAGTATGGCCTGAGGATGCTATTCTTCCTAATGGAAGGACAGAAATCTATTTTATGTAGTTTTAAATAGAATGCCTAAATTAGGCGGTGGGAGATAATTTTTAGTGGTTATAGGAAAGAGCAAATTTAGGGAGAGTTGAACTTCAGGCCTTTTATTCCTGGGAAGATACCTATAAAGAAAATTTTAAAAGTAATTTTTGATCAGAAATACACATATGCCCATGTAATGAAAAACAGAATGTGCTCATTCTGCTAGTGTGGTATAACCATAATTTGTACTCCCCTGAAACTTATCAGAATAACAATTATGCATACATGAACTATGCCAGAGTAATGTTTACAGATACTTTGTGACAAAGTTCAGGAGGCTTGTATAGGTGGAAGTGTACCCAAGGAGTCCGAGTCATTTCAGATGGCTTTGTCAATGTTTTGCTTTCACTGACAGTTGTCTTGTTGGCTGCAGAGACCGGGCAGCAAAGGGGTTAGAAACAATTAAAACTTCAGTCTCCTAGGCAGGAGACATTCGAGAGTTCCATGTTTTATTTTCCAGGAACAATGGGCTAACTCTGTACGTAGTGGAAAACAGTTTGCAAAAGGGTTACTTATGATATGAGTAAGTGGTCTGACCTAAAGTTTTATTTAGTTTAGTGGCATGACCTGGTTTTGAAGCCATACACCATAAAGAATATATATATATATATATCCAAAAATAGATCTAAAATATTTTCACCTCAGATTTCAGTAATTGGCACAAACTTTGTGAGACACTTCTGTTTCCATCTTGGGTTTCCTCACTAGCAGTATGTTCAGAGGTGCAGACTGGCACTTAGCCAGACACATTCCTGACGCATTTGAATACTCACCATGCTTTGCAGGTATTTGGAAGTGCAGCGGATCAAACTGGACTCCTCAAGTTTGGCATAAATTCCTTTTTTGTGCTTATTGTGGTGAAACTTAAGCACTTTCTTAGTAAACTCCCACACCATCGAAATGCTGAAGCCAGTTGGTTTCCATACATGCCTTATTTCCTCCAAGGCATGCCTCGATTGCTCAGAATGCGTTCGTTCGTCTCACTGTTTAAATATGCCCGGAAGGAATGATATGTATCTAATAGACCTCATAGTCTGTTTCCTTGGGGAGTTGTATACCAGACGATTACTAAATTTTCCTGTCCAACTCCATTTTTTTCCAAAAACATGATCTCAAATTTTTATCATGCTATCAGTTCATAAATAACGCATCAGCCTTGAGTTGATCCTTGAAAGTGGCCACAAAATAATCACATGCTGTGCAAACAGGGAAGGAGACCATTACGTTCAGGAGAAGCTTTGAAATGGGAATTAATCAGTATTTCACAGGAAATAGTTTCACAGAAGACATTATTCAAATAAAATGTGTACACTATTTGCCTGATGCTATGGGGTACACGATTTCAAAAAACAAAAAGCCTCCCTTAGACCAGCAGCTCTTAGCCTAGAAAATGATGGCCTGTAAATATAGATGTACCACGTAGAAATGCCCCCACCTGCATCTAGTGGGAGCTTGCTGGGGAGGGGTGCTGGCAGGACACGCATGACAAACGTGATGTGTGAGGCTTTCGGGGCCCAAACCCTCAGGCCCTCTCCAAGCTTTGCCAATATCCTTTTCGTCCAGTGAAATCACAGCCTTGTGTTACCTGCCTGCTTAGCTAGTCCTCGAGCTTATCAACTGAAAGGTTTACAAAACTGAATCTGGTTGAATCTCTGTGTAGCATTCAACTTGAAAGGGTCAACACATCTGTCGGCATTTTGCACACTTATGTATTATTATGATACAGCACATTACTTTATGGTAATTTTTATTTTTACATATAACTACCTCCATAAATTTGATGAAATGGCAGCAGTGCGTTCAAGTGTATTGTTCAGAAAAGCAAAGTTTAAAACTTTCTTAAATGTTAGGCCATGGCATTGTGTGTGTGTGTGTGTGTGTGTGTTAGTGATTGTCTCTGTGGACTCATGGCTTTTTCATTGCCGTGGTTTTCCCTTACAACATTATTTGGCTTTCAGATGTAATCCTGTCCTCTCTCCCCCATGAAAGCTCACTTGATTTTGTTACGAGTGAACAGAAGTCTAAAAATTCTTGTCTTTCTCCTCCTCTCTATTCCTGCTAAAAGTTCTCTCTGGCACAGAGCCAGTTGGTAAACATAGTTTGACAAGCTATATGGAAATCTGATTTGAATTCTAGGTTTTCAGTAATGGAAGACACACAAGAAGTTTGGGTGGCCAATTTTGAAGCACTTTGGGTCTCTTCACCTTCACTCACATGCTACCACAGCAAGCCCAAACTTCACTTTAATGAAACGAGCTGGGCTGTATATTCCACACTTTGGTTAAATAATTTGTATTCCATTTTCTATCATTTGTGCATCTCAGGGGACCTTAATGACCATATGAAAAGGGCGGGGGTGCCATCAAATAGAGAAGTAGAAAAGCTGAGAGGGGAGTAGCTAGGTAAAAAAAAAAAAAAAAAAAAAGCAAAGTACTGCTTCTCTGCTGTTGGGAAGTTCAAGTTCAGGAAGCATACATTGAAAGTTAATCTGGAGTAGCAATGATCTGAACACCAGCTGTTCCCAAATCTCTCTCTCATAACCCAACCAGCATTTCTAAAATGTAAATTTAAATCCTGTTCAGTCCCCAGGGAGGGGAGAAACCTGTTCAGTGGAAACCGAAGCATTGCTCCCTTTTTAGGTTGGCACAGCTTTGTAAAATTCTACCCAGGATAAACCACTTATCACCACAAAGTGTACTTGAAAAAAAAGTTTTTAGCTTAAATTATAGGCATATTCCTCACAACACAACAGTAATCACTTTTTTAAAAAAAACAAATCTCTCCATGTATAACATGAGCAGTGTTCAGAACTTGGTTAAGAAACCAACAACAACTGATGATGACTTTGCACAGTTCATTTTGGGATCTCAAAGTGCTTCCAAAGCATTCAGATTCACAAACAACTAAACACAGTGGGTCATATTTATAATCCCCATACTTGAATAAACAAAAGGGGTGACCTCAGACCACCCAGAAACACAGTGGCAGCTATCAAGATCTATTTTCTATCTGTTTGATAGACCTTCATGGGAAATCACTAAATACAATGCTATTTTTCTGATGTGTGCTAATAAAGTCAAAGAAAACAAGTGCAACTTTACACCTTTGTCCATTTTCATTCAAGAGGTTCAGGGTGCTTGGAATTTTGCAACTCAGCACACCTTGCTGGCATCAGTTGATGAAGTGGGAGGTTACTAGATTCACCCAAACGTCACCCCACTCAAAGACAGATCTAGACACACACCCTTGTTTACAGATTCACATTGGGTCTAACTCCTGTGCTAAAATACCCACCTTTCAGGAACATGGCTGCTCCTGGCAGTGGAAGGTGCTGAAACAAAATTTTAATTAAAAACTTTATCAAATATTCTTCATAGTGCTCTGAGCACAATAGAAATTCAGTCCTAACTATGGAGCCCTACTTTGGAGGATCTCGATTTCTGAGGGAGCTGATGGGTTCTGAGTGTCTTCTCAGGTTAGGAGGTACACGATCCCTCACAGGGGTCTTCAACAAACCACGGGGCGGTCATGGAACCGACCAGCAGTGCCCTGTCAGGCCACCGTGGACCCAAACAGAGGTGATCTCTCCTTCCCTCCCCGCCTCCGCCTCATTCCCCCTACACAGTCGTGGCTGTTGTCAGTCATTTAGGGCTTGGGGGAAGTTAGGTCCCAGGAAAAATGAATGCAAAACCCGTGGTGAACAGTTTGCTTTGGGTTCATAAAATGCTGGTGAGGAAGAGACGACTATCAGTTTGAGCTTTGCCAAGTAAGATCAAAGAATCCGTTGTCATCCCATCCCTCTCGCAGAAGGGTTTTACAGCATTAAGACTAAATCCAACATTTTTCCATAGATTTTTCTTTAGGAGACATCTCGTAAATTATGTATGTGAAAAAAAAAAATCATGATCCATTTTCCTTGTGTGTTTGAAACAGACGTTGGCGTCTCCCTGCCTGAGTCAGTCGCTGCGTGTTTTGCAGCAGCCGCCCGAGAGGTTCCCAGTGATGGCTCCTCTACCGTGGAATCCTGTGTTGTTACAGTTGTTCTATGACTTACAGTTGAGGGTTTGCAAGCCTCCGAATTCTACAAGGCTCCAGGGGGACCAACCCTCTTCTGATTGCCTCTTTTGAGTTACAGGGCTTTAATCAGCGAGTGCTGGCTTCAAGTGTGAACAGACACACCTGATGCCAGTGAGGGAATGGGGTGTTTGCAAGTGGGGAAGCAATGACTCTGGAAGGTTAGAAGCTTCAGTGGGCCTTGTACAGCTTCCCACTCCCTGGGCAAAGGCTGACCCTGACACCCCCAGTTCCCGTACTCGCACCACAAAGAGGTACCCGACCTGAGACCTGAGGTCTCCGTATCAGGCCTCTGCCGTTCCAGGAAGTTGATCTTGCAGAACACACTCAGCAGCTCCTCCCCTTCCTGTCCTCTGAGCGCCCCCCTCCCTGCCTCCTTCCTAGACCCTGACACAACGCCACGGTTTCCACATTGGAAGGGCAGAATGCTGTGCAATGCTGTGCACACACGCTGAGTTAGGAACAGCTGCCCAGGGGTCACCTTCATGTAAGTATTGACAGCTGCAAATTAAAGTCCTTGGAGCAGCTAACATAGATACTACTTTCTAGAAGAGAATTAAATGTAAACGTCAAGTTTAAAGGGATCATAATTCTGCAGGTATCTTTCTCTGAGTGACTGTGACTATTGCATTAGGGTAAATGAATTAAGAAGTACAAGTGGGATTTACTGTATGTTAGAAAGGAGTTTTGCAGCCAAGACTGCCTTGAATACAATGTGTTTGCACTGAAAAAAAAAATTTTAAATTACTTGGTCTCTGGTTGCTGTAAGGTCATCCAAGATGGATGTTCTGTTTATATTGTATAGTATTTCATATGAAATAATTACGGTTCATGAAACGTCTTCCCTAATGTTACTGATTTATAACAGCACATTTGTAACATGGTTTTTATCGTGTCAGTGTACCATATTGTAAATGATGATTACTTGTCATGCTTAGTATAATAACTTAAAAGAAAAAAAAAGGACAGGGATTTTTGTAAGTCTATATTTGAAAGTCCCTCCATATGGTAATATTGTGTTCATGTTGTTTATGTAGTGTTGTGTGAAATATCCATTTTGGATTGTGTTACTTTTTAAGATATTAAATAACATTTGGTTATATGTCTAAGTGGAATTTTTTTTGGTATGTGAGAGAAAACATTTCAGGTGAGATAAATTTATTTCTCTTCAGTTGATATGATTTCAAAATAAATTTTTCATGCATGTTCGTTATTAGAGCTTTTGAGTTAAAACAACTAAGAATTGAAATTTCTGATCAAAATTCTTTTCTCCAAGAATGTTGAAAAAAAAATCATGGCTAATTTTTAACCATTTGAATTTAAAACAGAGTAAAGGTTAGAGTTAGAGATGCATATAGTTGTTTTCTGTAAAGTTATACAGTAATGTGTTGAGTTGTGGGGTTTCCCTTTTTTTTAGCACTTAACGTCACAATTTTAACTCTAGTCAACACTAGGAAGCTGTTCACATATTCCAAGGAGGCCCTTGCAGAAGCCCGGAGTCCTGCTATGTTTTATTGCCTTCAGAATATATTATGCAATCAGCCCTCCAATATGGGTGCCACATTGCAGATACATTCAGTGTCCTCAGGCTGAAACTATTCAGAAAAAGTAAATTACATCTGAGCTGAACAGTACAGGCTGGTTTTGGTCATTATTCCCTACATGGTAAAGTATAGCAGCTACTCACCTCTAACACACATTATTGTTATTTACATTGAATTAAGCACTACAAGTAATCCAGAGAGGGTTTAAAGAATAGAGGAGGAGGTGTGTAGGTTCTGTGCAAATACCACAGCGTTTCCTGAGGGAAGTCCTGGAACGAATCCCCAGCAGGTGCCAGGGGACAACTGTGTATTCTTTGATTCTCCTTGGTGGCACCAAATCTTTGAAGAATGGACTCCATTTCTTCAAGCCAAAAGTCGTTTGCTGTTAAGTGAACGATTCAGCTAGACAACACCATTTTTTGTCAAAATCACTAAGGAACCTGACTTTCTTGGTAAGACAACACCAAAAGACTTCCAAAAATAGTTTCAAATGGTAACGGTGTCTTTTGGGTAAGTGTAGAATCTCCAGGATGATGACCTTGAAGAACAAATCTTGTTTGCGTGGAATGCACTTGTTTTAAACTGTTTCATCACAGACACTTCCTTTTGCAGGCATGACACTGGAAAGAACAAGCATCCTGGGAGTGTGCTGGGCGTTCTTGCCCAGGACCCAGTGCTGCTCTGGTGGTGGGAAGCTTTGTTCCTTTCAGAACAATCGGTGGACGAGTGGAGGCGAGAGGAGGAAGCGCCGTGGCTGAGGAGATGGATGGCAGGATTCCGACTCCTTGGAGAGAAGGGTCACAGCTCATAAAGATCTTTTCTTTCCAAAGGAAATGGTATGGTTTTAACTTATTTTTAAGTATTTGGAGTTGTGGATTTGTTTTCCCCCCTTTCTGTAAAGAAAATCCAAGCCAGAGTACTCAGTACTTTCCTCCTAACCTTTTGGTTGGTGGCTGTGAAATTTAGAACCATTGAGTATTAAAAAAGAAGCCATTCACCTGACTTTAATAACAGATTTAACTGTAAAAATTTATCCCTACTGTGGGAATACTTGGATTTAGTGATAGTCCCCCTCTTCAGGCTCAGTGTCTGCAGACTTTTCCTGTCAAACAGATAGTTTATCATGGAGCAAATGAACAAGTGCATGATTAATATATTCATATAGCACACGGCTCCATCCACACAGGAATTTCAAGAAAGCTCAGGGCACCTGCCCTCAAGATAAGGTGGATATCGTGTGTTTTGGTGAATCTTAAGAGGAATTACACTAGGAGTATGATGTTAAGAGTGGGAGACACAATTTGTTAGATAAGCGAGGCCAAAGAAGTTCCTTTGGAATCCAGACGACCATGTGAAACCACAGTCAGTACTCTCTGTCCTTGGGATCAACTAACAGTGTAGGTTTTATCAAGTGTGGATCAAAAAAATTGTTTTTAGTTGAGTCTGTTTTGTACTTATACAGACTTTATTTCTTGTCATTGTTCCCTAAGCGACAGAGAATGACCCCTCATACAGCATTTATGTTGGTTGCATCAGGAATTGTGAGTAACCTGGAGCTGATTTAAAGTAGACAGGAGGATGTGCACAGGTTAAATGCAAATCCCACACTGTTTTACCAAAGGGCCTTGAGCCCTTTCACAGATCTTCTTACCTGTGGGATGTCCTGGAACCAGTTCCCCACAGACGCCAAGGGACAGTCATACTGGAGTTCAGTCACATGCCAGTTCTCACCCAGATCTAGGACTTTGGGGCTGTTCTGTGCTGATCAGATGGAATGAACATCCTCTCCCCTGAGCCGGCCTGTGCTGCTCTGGGTGACCGTTTCGATGCGTTATTTAACCAGCCCCAAATGCCAACAGATGAATTCCTCCCAGGTCAGCTTCTCACATTTCCTTTGTTATAAAGCTCCATGCAGTGTTTTTCTTTTGTATTACTTTGGGTTTATTTTACTTTATGACTCTCTCCTTCATTTAATATCAAGGATTTTGATTTGTCTGTTACTATCCTGTTAACATTGAACTCAGTTCTTGGTCTCAGGGACCACAGTTGACTACTAGCATTTTAAATTTATGGTTATGTGTCCTTACTGTCCTAAAGTTCGCAGACCACGATCGTCCCTCAATCTCATTTCCACTCATTTTTGCATAAAGAGCCTGTTTTTCTCCATCACTTCTATGGAAATCTTCTATCAGCTGGTTCATCAGAGCCCTGATAAATAATTGGCGCTTGCAGATATGCACAGATAGATAGATGATGGGTATAGTATATTAAAGATCTTTGCATTCTTGTCGTTTGCAAGTGACAGTGAAACCAAAGGAGGTGTCCTGTGAAGGGGCTGTTGTTTGACTTTCCTGCGACTCCCTTCTAATCATGTGTTGAGAATTTATCTTGAGAAATTCTTTTTGGACCTTTTTATACCTGTGCTTGAAACCAGCACATGCCATTCTTTGTGACTGTGGGCAAAAATTTTTCCCTGAAGGGCACTTTCTTAGCTTTTCCCAGCAAGATGGCATTCCCAGCTAGAAGCCAGACATGTAGATGCTGCAGCCGCTGGGGGCAGCATCCTGCTGTCCTCCCTCTCCACTGGCTCACAGCGTCTCTGTGCTGTTCCATCACTTCTGACCCAACATTCCCCTCCATCCTCTCTTGGTTGTTCTGGTGCTTTTCTGTGACTAAGCTGAGTGCCCCTGCTCTGTTCAGTGTTCTTGGATTCTCCTCTCCTTTGAAGTGAGTAACAGCTCAATGGTTCCAGTGTTTAGGGATTGTAGGTCTGGCCTGCACAGTGTGGCTTCACATGCCATTGTCAGTAAGACAAGTGTGACAGCTAGCTGACAAATCTCAAATGCATTGCACATAGGTCTTTTTGCTTTTTTTCCTCTGTAGGTTGTTTGAGGTCAGCTCATCAGAGGGCATCGGGGCTGAATGTCAAAGGATCCCTGTTCAGACTAGGAAGGTCTCGAGACAGCAATGACCTTACAAACAGAAGGTGCCATTTCTACAGTTATTCGCCAGCTGTGTCTCCTGTCTTTAAAAGGGAACCAATGAGGTAGATGGGTTCCAGGTGGCCCCATAAAAAGTTAAACGAATGAGTGTAATGAGAGAGCATCTTTTAAAATTATTTATGTATTTGTTAATTTGTGACTGAGAGAGGGAGATGGAGAGTTCCCATCCACTGGTCACTCCCCAGATGCCCACAGCAGCTGGCTCAGGGTCGGGTAGGCCTAAGGCAGGAGCCAGAAACTCAACCCAAGTCTCCTACTGGGTGGTAGGGATGCAAGTACTTGGGTCATCGACTGCTGCCTCCCAAGGTGTGCATTAGTAGAAAGCTGGAACTGGGAACAGACCCAGGACTCAAACCCAGGCACTCCCCATGTGGGGTGTGGGCCTCCCAACAACAGCTTAGCCATCTCAGCTGGATGCCTGTCCTGAGAGTATCTTTTCCAGTTGCCTCACTTTAGCCAGTTGGTAAAACTACCAGTGTGCCAGAAATGCCTACCTAAGGATTTTGGCAGTCACTATATTTTATAGTTTTGGGGAGCAAAGCTCTTCTACTGCATTTTCAAAATAAATAAGGTTTTAGATTTACAGAATGATGGCAGTGGTAGCACAGAGAATTCTAGTAGTCCCCATATCCAGTTTCCTCTATAGTAGCATCTTACATAAGTATGGCAACATAGCCACAATCAATGAACCAATATTGATATGTTATTGACTATAGCTTATACTTTATTGATATATCCTAGTTTGTCTCTACTGTCATTCTCCTGTTCCAGAGGCCCACCTGGGATCCCATGTTACATTTAGTGCCCATGTCTCTGTCACCATGATCTGAGACAGTTTCTGAAACAGTCTTCATTTTTGATGACCTTGATAGTCACGGGGAATTCTGGTCTAGTATTTTGTATATGGGAGTTATGTCTTACACTTTTCTCGTGAGAAGGCTGGGGCCCTGCGTTTTGGGGACAGGACCACCGAGACAGTGCCGCTCTGGGCATGTCGGGAGGACGTACTGTTTGTCCTGACGCACCGCTGTGGATGCTCTCCTTGACATGCGCATTGGCGCTTGCCCGCCAGGCCTCTTCACTGCGGAGTTACCCTTTATTCCTCTGTTTCCATCCTTTTCTCATTGGGAGAAAGCCACTGGGTGCCGCTTAAAGGGTGAGAAGTTGTGTTCTGCCTCCTCAAGGGTGGAGTGTCTAAAGTTATTTGGAATTAAAGGGCCTTTGTTGCTTTGTCTCCATTATTTATGAATTCAATCATTAATTCATATCAGTACAGATTTGTGGGTATTGGCTTTATACTTTGGGTTATAGCTCATGACTAGTTATTTCATTGTTCAAGTTTTTCCAGTTATTGTCCACTTGTTTTGAGCACTGCCTAACTCTAGCACTACCAGATGCTTTAGACTCATTTTATTTCTTTCCTACCCCAGTGCTGGAATCACTTCTTTCTTGAACAGCCCTGGTTCCTTTTGTTGAAGAACAGTGTTAGAAACAAAGACCTGGCTATTACATGTGTGCACTGCTACTGGGAGTCACTGCTTCTAGGTCCTCTTAGC